TTTTTTTTTTTTTGAGTCATATTTTGGTTCCTTTCAATGTTTGATTTTCTGTAATGCGGGTCTTCACAGGTTTTTTGTTTTATTTAACCTTTCCTTCTGAATTGATCGTCCTAATTTGAGTTTCGAGGATCTGTATTTTGGTAGGATTGAGCGGATTGGGTATGATCATTTTTCTCATAACTTGTAAAATATTTGCTGGATTTTAGGTCAAGAACGATTATGAATAAGAAAGCAATGTTCAAAGTTCAAATACGCTTTACCGATTGTTGTAGTCCTCAATGTGGTTATTTCATTTTGCTTTAAAAAAAGCTTTGTACATCGTTTTGGTTGCACATTATTGTTCTTAAAATGATAATCCTTAGAATGGAGTTTTTACAGAGACACTAAGTAATTTGCATTTATATAAAATATTGCTTTATGGCTCTCGTTAGCAAATATTAAAAACAGCGTGTCAAAGAGAAGTAAAGATGTACTTCAAGACGCACTGTGCGTTAATTCTGATCGATCAGACAGGTGTATGGGGTTTTTGGAAAATTTCTGACGGTTTGCTTTTATTTAATGCTTTTTAGTTAAGAGGCTTAAGTGTCTGTTGGTGATGAAATATGGTTCTGTAATTAAACAATATTTGAAGACTGACCTTATTTTTAAGAGAGGTTTTTGTCATATAAATGATATTTTGTTAGAGTGTGTTGAGCAAGAAGGAGGGGTTCTTTTGCAGTAGGATTATTGTTCTCAAGCGTTTTGTACGAGAAGTCAAGTTATTGCTTCAAAAATAGTTTTAAACAGCAAATTATTGATTGTTTAGATGATAAATGTGTTACTGAAGAGAGGGATCTTCTGCATATTATAGGATTTAAATTACTACACCTTTGTTCTTGCATTTATTCTGAAAATGCTTGAGAACTTGGTGACATGGGTGCTGAACAACTATGTCGGGGAGTACTTGGAAAATCTGAATACTGACCAACTAAGTATTGCCATTCTCCAAGGTACTTTTTAATAATGGTGCTTTCAAAAACTTCTTTGCTTGTTTATTTTCTAAGCAAGTGATAAAGATCAGTTATATAAATTATCGCTTGATGACAGCAGTTAATTGTTACTAAACTGTTGAAGTTTACTTACCCAGTTTTTGAATGTTGGATACTTTTTGTAATGCA